AAAATGTTAAATTTTGGTGAAACTTTGATTTTCTTTTAATTTTTGTATAAAATTTGAAACTTGGATTTACATGGTTTTTGTCATAGAATGAACTATATTTTTTATAAGAAAGTAACTAAAATTAATTTGAAAATAAGAATAAAAACCCGACACCTATCCATAAGGTCACCCCTATAAGTATACAGCGCACTGCATCATTTACAAACTATTAATGAAAAAATAAATTGTATTGTTTCTTTTGGTACATTGCTGAGGAACAATATTAGTTATAATTACATATGTGACTTCATATAAGTATATTATTCACGAAATATTTATGGGGCACACTGCCAAGAAACAACAACTTTTCTAAATGCTTTCCAGACAAGCGATTTCTACTTTCTGTACTACATGACCGCACTTTTCGAGAAAACTCTAATAACAGGCGTCATTTGTTGAGTTGCCGTTGCAATGATAAAAGTAGTAGAAATTACTCTTTCGATGCCAAGTACTTTTTTTCGATACTTACTCGATACCGAACCAAAAGGTATCCAGTAAAAAAATACTTGGTATCAAATGAAAAGTATCGAGTATTTACTTGTATTTACTTGTATCGATTGAACCCTAGGTAAGTTTATGAAAAGGCTTTGATGAGTGACAACACTGTAGTAAGCAATACTGAGGGCTCCAGTAATCGACAAAATTCTCCGTATACAGACTGCGTTTAAGTATACGTTCTGCGTTCTTGACTAATTTCAGCTAAAATCGGGGAAACGCCACCACTCTGATGTACGCATATGCACAACGACATTGATTTATGTTTATAAGTACTCATTTACACACGGCGGTTTGTTGCCGCAACTCGACGTTTGTAGAAGAGAGCGTAACGAGGAAAGGAGAGGGGCACCGAGTTGCTCGCGCTCGGACAACACGCTTTGTGCTCTCGTTCGTCTGTGTAAATTGAGTTAGCGGTTCACAGCTGACAACAACAATTGCATACACAAAAATCGCCGTGTGTAAATGAAACGAGCAACACCAAAAGGGAATGTGAAAAATCGCGTCGACAAAAGTTTCCGTGTATAAACACAGTCTAAGTTGCCATAGATATGAATGCGACGCCCTCATGCTCATACCATCCCCAACAATTCTGATCCTCAGCTCATCATCAGACAATCAGTGTTGCCACAAGATTTTATTTTCCTACCAAAACTTCCTACTAAAATCCATCAAAACCTACCAAATTTCTATTTAAGTTTTAATATTTTTTTTAATGTCAAGTTTATTAAAAATGTAGATAACATAACATTTAGAAAAACTAAAACACATGTAGTACAATAAAAACAATTTAACTACGAGTAACAATTCATTTAACTGTACATTCTTACACAAATGTTTGTCTCTTTACACATACATATTAGGGCTGTTCAGCATCTTGTGCATATACTTTTGGATTTGTATATTCGGTGCATTCATATATTCACAACAATAGAATGCACACGGTTGCCATGGCAGCAAGCAAAAAATTCGCACATGCAATTCCAACTGCAAATCCAAGACCATTTCCACAACATCCTGAACAGCCCTATTATTATTATTATTATTATTATTATTATTATTATTATTATTATTACAGTCACATAGAATATGCTATGGGGTTTCCTCCACCAGCTCACAAAAGGCTAGGGACCATGCAAGTGCATTTGGGCTACACGCTGGGTTTCATCGAACGCGTCTAGGAATTACGAAACGGGTACGAGATAGAACGAGACGCACTTCCACGATCATTACCCGAGTTGTTTAAGGATAGGGCCCTCGTCTGGTTACGGCCCAGGGAGGCATTTAAGGATTATGTACTGGCGCTACAAGGGCTAATGCGTAATTCCGAATATACGGAGGCACAAAAGCTCCGACGCATATATAAGAACTGCCGAAGCGAGTACCAGCAATACATTAAACGATCTGAGGTCGATACTCTCGGAGAGCTGGTAAATCTGGCCGAAGACTACGGAATATCGTAGCAGAGAAGGAGTCGCAACAAGCGTTGCCCTGCGCAATATCTGCGAGGCGAAATGGAGAGCGCAACTACACTATCCGAGACGTAAAACAGAAAAATCTAGACGACTAAACCCACGAACGGCGTGTAGACTGTGCGGCGAAGACGGAAATTTCGCCTACGAATCTCGGAACAATATAAATCAGTTCTGTTGGAGATGTGGTCGGCGGAACAATCGCACGTGACACTGTTGCCGCGGACAAAAGGGAAACGGCCAAGGACCCCATTCGCG